ACAGCAGCCGTAGTGAGTTTCTACTAACATTTCAACGATTTCGTATCAATCGATAAAAGCATGGCAATCTGTTTTAAGAAAATTGGGGACTGTGTTACTTGAAGTCCTTCGACCGCTGAGGCCGACGAACTACCAGGACACATGTGTTGTGCATTGACTGTTCTGAATTGCATAGTATGAAGTATAATTGTTGCATATATTTGCTAGATTGCTTGTTATGCTGGGAGTGGGTGGAAGCACAATGAGATCCTTACCGCCCCCCTCCTCGGCTAACAGTCTAACCCGTGACTGAAGGCTTTCACTGCACTCCCCCCAGCACTGATTTGAATATTGGATATTAGATATTTGGAAATTAGATATTGAATATTGGTTGAGACTGAAGTCCATCCCCCACCTAGAGTCCTCCAGCCTCAGTTATATCAATGAATTCTCCACATATATACAAGAAAATCAGCTCTCAATAAAGCATGTGGGTTAGACAAAACTCCAGTCTATCTGATAAGATAAGCGCATGCGCACAGCACTAAAAATACACACTTTAAATGTTTAAATTTTCTTTTTCAAAACCACGATTGTACTAAAAACTGTATATTCAAAGAAAGTTGTTCATCTCAGTATCGAAGGAGACAGGATGACAAATTATAAACTGTGGTTTGGTATAAAGAGAACATCTTTCCACTGACTAGGAGATCGTGATGGAATCATAGCAGTACAGGTCTTTTGTAATTTACTAAAATAAGACTTATAAACTCATAAACCTCAAAGATATCCTTAACATTAAGTACGTAAGAAGCCTGCAGTAAAACTACATTCATAAATACACATACGACCATTGGAAACAATTGTCTACTGACTAGTGTGACCTTGAATACACAATGAGGGGAACCCCCCAACCATTCAAAGCTGTGATTGGCTGGCTAATGTCAACTATACTGTTACACTGAAACTCGGTCAAACAAAACGAATTCGCAGAAATGATACGTCTTAGCGTGATTTATTTATTTTTTATTGATTTGTTTTTTTCCCCACTCAAACCAGCTTTTACCAGCTTGTATTTTCAATTGTTAAACGTGCAAAGCGTGTCAAGCAACGTCGGAGATGCATATATAAGAACATTTTATTATTTATAT